AAGGAAGGAAGGAAGGAAGGAAGGAAGGAAGGAAGATTTGGATATTTAGAAAGCAGATGATGTAATGAGATTATGTTTCCTAAAATGGGAATAAATAGGAAATGTTTCACTGGATTAAAAATGTTTTGATCAATATAACTTTACAGATGTGGTGCAGTGGGTAGAACTGCTGCTTTGCAGGAAGAAGGTTCTGGGTTCGATTCCCGGCCTGAGGTCTTTCTGCATGGAGTCTGCATGTTCTCCCTGAGAATGTGTGGGTTCTCTCTGGGTACTCCGGCTTCCTCCCACAGTCCAAAAACATGACTGTTAGGTTAACTGGCTTCTCTAAATCCTCCTTAGGTGAGTGAGTGGTTGTTTGTCTCTGTGTTGCCCTGCGATGGACTGGAGACCTGTCCAGGATGGACCCCGCCTCCTGCCCATTGACCGCTGGAGATAGAAACCAGCACCCCCCAGCACCCCTCACCCCCCCCAAATGGATGGATGGAACTTTACAAATTATGAACCGGAGACGCCGGATTATAGGTCTACTGTTGTTTTACAGGGATTGGGAAAAGAAAGTGATTATTTATTATTTGCTGATGATAGAGCGTATTATGGAGAAGAAGACATGAAGTAGAATTTATGGTTAAGAAAGTCTAGATGAGAAAGTTCAGCCAGAGAAACATCTCAGTTGAAAAGACAAAACATTTGGTTTTTACATTGAAAAATATAACAGTGAGTATAAAATTAAAGTCATCTAAAAATAATTAGTACTAGTAAAAAGTTTAATATGTTTAGGGATCAGTTTTTTATGAAAACCAGATGAAATATTCATCTATAACAGACGCTCCACAGAGGACGCCATCAGCTCAGCTCTGCACTCACCTGGAGAAAAGAGACTGAGAATGCTGCTCATCGCCTTCAGCTCAGCATTCAGTACCTTTATACCCCAAGAGCTGATCTACAAACTGGGCCTCAGCACCTCCCTCTGTAACTGGCTGCTGGACTTCCTGTGCCGGAGACCGCAAGTTGTGCGCGTCGGTAACAACACCTCGGACACTATCACGCTGAGCACAGGAGCTCCACAAGGGTGCGTGCTAAGCCCTCTGCTCTTCACCCTACTCACACACGACTGCAAAGCAACCCACAGCACTAACCACCTGGTGAAGTTTGCAGACAACACAACCCTGGTGGGACTCATCTCCAACGGCGACGAGACACACTAGGACAGAGGTGGACCACCTAGCCAAGTGGTGCAGTGACAACAACCTCCTACTGAACGTCAGCAAGACAAAGGAGATTGTTGTCAACTTCCAGAAAGGTCCCCGCCGACTCCTGCCACTGACCATCGATGGCGCTGCTGTGGAGAGGGTGAGCAGCACTAAATTCCTAGGAGTGCACATCAGCGACAACCTCTCCTGGACCACCAACACTGCATCACTGGTCAACAAAGCCCAACAACGCCTCTACTTCCTGCGGAAGCTGAATCAGGCCAGTGCCCCACCAGCCATCATGACCTC